TTCAGGACCACGTGTGCGGAAGTTTCCCTGTTTTCTCCTGGAACTGCTCTGTTTTCAGGAAAGATGTTGGCTGCATTTTGAGAGACGATTTGAAAGTTGGATTGGGGAAATAAAGTCCTTCCTTTAGGGCAGGATCCCAGATGACTTTACAGAGTGCTGTGAGTGGGCCCTGAGTTATCTGAAGGAGTGTTTAGTCTGGGAAAACAACCGGAAAAGAGAAAAGCAGGATACAAGAGCAGGCAGGGAGCAAGTCTGTTGTTCTTCTCTGGCCGGGCCGCGGGTGTGGAGGAAGAAGGCTAAGTTAACCTTGGAGGCCCGGACTAGAGACAGGAAGGCAGAGGCAGAGGCGGCTTTGGCGGACAAGGTGGCAGTCAGAAGGGTGGCAGTGCAGCCTCTTGGGGTCACTGTGCCTAAGTGGTCGGCACACAAGGCTCAGTCACCCCAGGGCTCAGAACACCCCTCTGTGTGTCTCTGTTTGGCATGCTGGGTGGATTCTGATTAGATCCTCTTGGTGGGCGACCTAGAAAAAGTGAGCGGGTGAACACAAGTTGGGAGAACAGGAAGGAAGTGACTGGGAGGTGAGCAGCAGGGAACCACAGGGAGAAGGGAACGAGGTGAGAAAAATGTGTTCCCAGGCATCATAGCACCACTTCCGCCTTCTGGGAGGCAGCGTTTGACAAGGGTGGGTGTTCCCTGAATCCCTACAAAGACTGACAGAGTGCACTTCCACAGACTTACAGGAGAGAGAAAGCGATGTGGACTTCACACCCATGGAAGTGTGTGTGTGTGTGTGTGTGTGTGTGTGTGTGTGTGTGTGTGTGTCGGGGGGGGGGGCATGGGAGAGAGAGGCCCTGTTAGGTAAGGAAGCAGGTTCCACACACCAATCACACTCTGGGAGAGAGCGAGCAAGGCACAGGGTGCTACTGTGTCCCAGTATGAGCGCTTAAAAAGGACCCTCTGAAAAAGAAAAAAAGGCCGGGCGGTGGTGGCACAGACCTTTAATCTCAGCACTTAGGAGGCAGAACCAGACAGATCTTTGTGAGTTCGAGGCCAGCCTGGTCTACAGAGCGAGTTCCAGGACAGGCTCCAAAACTACACAGAGAAACCCTATCTCAAAAAACAAAAAACAAACAAACAAACAAAAAAAGGACCCTCTGAGCTCAGACATGAAGGACACACACGACTGTTGTGACTAGGGTGCAGCAGAGAGCAGACCATCCCTGGACAGAGCAAAAGGCACTGAGCCCCGTTCCCCAGGCTGGGTCTTTAAACCACAAAGGTGGGGTGGGGGTGGGGGAGGGGTGGGGGAGGGAGTGGTGGTGTCTGTGGACAACCAAGCAACGCTGATGTGTGGACATTGCAGCTCGGCCTGTTTTGCATTTTTGAAAGAGACCAGAAGCGAAAATGATGGCGTGGGCCGGGGTCCTGGCAAAGATGAAGATGAGCAGATGCATTTCAGGCCCAGGTGGGAGGTAAGGCTAGCCAGAAGACGGGAGAGAACGGAAGGGTTTTGGGGGTCAGGAAGGGTCACATTCTTTCTTCATGTGCTGAATCCTTGCACTGGCAGAGGAATGAGCAGTGGGGAAGAGGCCAGAAGAAAGACAGGAGGGCATCCGTGGACCTGGAGGCTCCAGTGCCTGGGCTGGGCCTTAGCAGTCGACCGCTTGTCTCCCATATGTGAGGCTGGGTTTCAGTCCCCAGTGCTGAGGTGACTTGCTAATTAAAATAAAAACCACTGCTCTTCTGAGGAGATGAGGTGGGAAGAAAGCGCTCCGGGTGAATTGACACGTGGGAACTGTTGAGGTCTGCAGTTGCTGTCCCCCAAGGAAGGCACAGATGCTGTGGGAGAGTGGCGGTCTCCACTCTGTCTATACTTCTTGGACAAAGTTTGAGCTGTTCAGAGACACTGCAGCCCTCTGTAGAGAGGAACGGCTGTGTCTTTGCACACTCCTAACATACACAGCGGATGCTGCGGAAGCCCTCTCCAGCGCCTGCGCCTGCCCAGGAAAGATCAGTCCTAAGGAAAAGGGGACGGAGCTTGGCTTCTGCACAGGCGGCCAGGGTCCGGGTGTCTCTCAGCTGGGAGACTCCGTGGGTGGCTGTGCACTTCCCCACAGCCTTCTAATCTGCAGGGTCCTGACCCTCAGTAAACACTCGAGCATCTCGGTGCTCTCCGAGCCTCATGCTCTGTGTATGACCCCTGGGCTTATTGGACCTGCAGTGGACTCTGTGTGTACTTCCTCTGTCACCAATTTACTGTATAGACTAAAACTATTGACCAGAGAGAAGAGCGTATCCTAAGGCTCCCTTTGTTCTCCCGGAGTGAGGCTGCAGCCCTTGAAGGAGCAGGCTTGTCACAGGCTCTAGAAGAAGGAAAAGAGGAGACAGTCCACAGAGGGGTGGAGCTGCCGCTCGAACGTGAAAGTAGGAAGCGCATTGAAGTGCACATCACACATGAATCATTTGTGTATGTGCAAACATTGCCTCTTCTCATAGCAAAGCCCCTGTCCCTAGTTTGTAGTCAGGAACTGAAGGGGGTGGGGGTGGAGCGCAGCTGGAGGGCCGCTCAGCAGTGAAGAGCACTTGTTTCTCTTGCTGGGGATCAGGGTTCGGTTCCCAGCACCCACATGGTAGCTGGCTCAAACCATGCTTAACTCCAGTTCCAGGGGACCCCATACCTACTCCTGACTCCGAGGGCATGCAAGCAAAACACTCATACACACAATAAAATAATAGATTATCAATACATTAAAAAAAAAAAAAGAATTGGACTCAGGGAGTTTAAATTCTAAGCATCAAAAAAGACATTGCAAGCCCCCATGAGTAACTCTTCCTCAACTCATAAAGCAGTTTGCTTTACTCTAGGGAACAGCAGTGACCACAGGTGAGAGGGAGAATCCATCCATCTGCTTAGAGATGTGAAACCTCAGAATTTCAAATGTCCAGGTAATTCCCATTTCACATCAGAACGATATAAGCTCAAATATAAAATGATATTCATAGGAATAGCAACCATCCTTTAAAAAATGCAGCTAATCTTTTTACTTTCATAAGAAATCTATCAGATCTACCAGAACTGGGTGTGTTTCTTTATTGATCTAATTCAGAAAAATAGAGTTAAAAAAAAAAAAAAAAAACCCAAAGCAACAAAGGCCCATTTCCTATCCCGCCCAAAACTGAAGCAGAGTTACAGGTATCTGTTTATGCTTAGACACTTTGTTGTTTACTTAACACATTGGATGCTTACTGCAGAATCTTTGATGGAACCTGTGAACTTTCAGTGTCTTCTCTTCTTTCCCCAGCTGACGGAATATGGCTTTGCCACGGTCACACTTGGTCACACTTGGGTCCAGATTCTCTGAAGCTCAGAGGCGGGAATGTGGTGTGTTGCTGGGAGGAACTGCAGATGGAGAGTGTCTGATTGGCTGGAGCAGGGCTCTGCTAGGCAATGTGGAGATACACACAGCTGGAATAATTTTCAGTTCGACCCTTGGCAACCGTGAGGGTATAAGGGGAAAAGAAGCAGAGGAGGAGGCTCAAAGATTGTACCACACACTGTCCGCCCCATCTTAGACTGGCTAGTGAGTGGCTCTTCTGTGCTGTATCCTCAGAGGAGACGAGCATTAAATGAGCTAGTCTATCTACTTGAAGGACGCAGGCCCAGTACACCAAAGGTGTTCAGTGGATATCATTACTTATAAAAATTGTTATGGATTGGGGAGATGTCTGTTGGTAAGTGTTTGTGCATAAGCATAGAGATCTGAATTTGAACTGCCAGACCCATATAAAAAAATCCAGGCATAGTGGTGCAAGCCTGTGATCCCAGCCCTGGAGAGGCAAAGACCAGAAGATTCCTAGATCTTGCTTGCCAGTCCCACTGAATTCGTGAGCTCCAGTTTCAGTGAGAGGTCCTGTCTCAACTATAGTGAAGAGTGACTGAGGAGGACACCAGATGTCACCCTTTTAGAATGATTACCCTCTTAGGGTCAATCAAAACTGCCACTAATTAGGGTCACTAAGCAACTGTCCCCTACAAAGTACTCAAGATTCTGCCATTTTGCTGGAAGGATTTGGATAAAGTCTTATACTGCATTCCCAAACTTCATTGTTACAGACCAGAATTTTATCTCGACTCACGTGGCCTACCAGAGCTAGACTGAGATAGGCAAGTCTGATACTCCACAAGTCACATGAAAAAAGTATTTTTACCTCCTCCAAGCTTTGAAACTGATTTTTGCATCACAAAGTTTTCGATCACTCACAACCCCCTTAGAGAACCAGATAAGTTTTGCAGCTGAGGTAGCCTCAACCTTCAAGGCTGGTTTCTTTCCATGCTCCCTGGAGGACTAGGTTTGGAACTTTCCCTGAATGTATATCTTCTGAGGGCTGAGTTGGACCTTAGGCGTTTCCTGTCCCACACAGGGAACCATACGCTTTCTGAATTATCTCATAGGACATTTCTCATCTGTGAATCTTTAAAGCCTGAAGTTCATGTTTTTCCCTTCGCCCTCCTCTGATGCTCAGTCTCCAAGGGCCATGTGTGTATTCCATTATAACCCCATTGCTTCCCTCGCTCAACGATAATATGTGGGTTACAGTGTGTACATTCATCCAGAACAGCAAAGGTTACCACTGCAGATTTATTGCTTCTTACATCATTTTACTGTGGGGCTGATTCATGAGATCAGTTTATTTAGTAATTAAATAATATTAAATAAGGCGCCTGTACCGACTCAGGCCAGCCCTGCCTTAGCTCACTCCACTGCCTCCTCCCCCTTGCAGTCCGTGTCTGATAAGAGGGATGGGTACCCACGGGCACAGCCTGGACCAGGGTGTGGCGTGGACCTTTCATTAGGGCCCCCATCTCGGCCGCATGGCCCCTCACAGAACATTCGCTCCTGAGAACTCCCAGCCTAACACCGGGACAGAACTTCTTTCCTTGGTCACCACCATTGTCTCTGCTGTTTCCTTGGTTACATCATTGTTTATATTCAGAGGGTCTCATTTTCAGCCAAGAGCCTCTTTTCCCTTGGTGGTGTCCCACGGCTCGTCACACAGTTTTATGCTCCTGTCCACTTTGCGGCTGATCACACATGCTCCTTAAGCTCACAAGGGAATTTGTAAGTTACCACTAGGACCAAGATTGAGTTTAGTGTGTTAATTTACTCTTTTCAACAGTTTGCTTTTGAAACTTTTGAGAGGATGGCAATCTGTTAGCACAGTGAGCGCTTTTTTGTTTGCCACAGAATTCTAGAGTTGACTTTGTTTACATTTTTTAAAAGACAGGATCTCATGTAGCCCAGGCTGGCCTTGAATTTGCTCTGCAACTTAGGCTGCCCTTACCTTCCTGATTCTGCTGGCCCAGCCTCTGGAGTGCTGGGATTGCAGGTGTCCACCAGCACTCAGCTCAGTGGATGTTCTGATGCAATTCTTATTATCTCCTCGGTGCCTCTGTCCACCCAGCAAGCACCTTGACTTTGTATCTTTTGTTATACAATACTTTCAGAAGTACAGAAAACTTACAGAACAGTGTGGAGAACTCCTAACTACCTCTCATCCGATTTTCCCACTGATAACACCCATTTTCCCTTGTGTATCTTGTCCCAGGATCCCACATTACATGGAGTTATTATGCCTCCTTGGTTTTCTTCTATTGCTCTCCACCTTAGTGGGTGAGACAGGGTCTTTTCCTGCAGAACCCAGGAGCTCACCACCTAGACTAGCTGGCCAGTAAGCCCCAGAGACCTTCATGTCTCCAGTCTTCGGCAGCACATCACCCACCCACCTCAGCGACACCTCTCAGGAAACACCGTCACAGACACACCCAGAGGTGTTGTCTCCTAGGTGATCCCAAATGCAGTCCAGTGGATGAACCATCACTCTGTTGATGAGCTGACTCCCTTCCACAGCCCCACATTTTAAAGGAGTCACCACCTCCCAGTGGCACCACAGGGAGGGACCAAGCCTTTGAGGGACATTTCAGACTCAGCCTTCAGTGGCCTGAAGATATGTATACTCTGGGGAGTGGCCACTCTCCACATATACCTTTCTGCACTGCTAATCTACATAGTGAACACCCAGTTTCTATGCAGTGCTGTGGATCCCAGTTCAGGTTCTGATGCCTGTGAAGCATGCTTGTTACCAAGAAAGCTGTCCCTTCAGCTCCCAGGAGCTAGTGCTTCTGTCTTCAGGATTACAGCCTGGAGCCCAGACCCTGCTTTTAAATTCACCTATGTTTGGTCTGAGATGACCCTGTGGCTAAGAGCACTGACTTTGAAAGCTTAAGGACCTGAGTCAAATCCCAAGGAACCCAGATAAAAAATCAGGCAAGGTCGCTGGAGTTCCCATTAACTCCAGCGCCGTAGGGAAGGATCATGAGGCTGCCAGGCTAGCTCCAGTTTCAGGGAGAGAATCTGAGGCAGGGGAATGATGTGGAGAGCAATAGAGCAAGGCGCCTGAAGTCATCCGTGGTATCCAATGTGCCTGAACACACACATGCTCATATACCACATACACTTATGTCATGTACATGGATATACATACAATACGTACACAGAATAAGACCAATCACCCAGGTCCGTTTCCTCTCCACCCTCTTCAGGGGAGTCAGGCCATTCATTTGTTGAATAGCTTCACTCATTTTTGTCCATGCTGCATGTTGGGTTCCTTCTACATCTAGGTTGACTTTAAACGTTTCCTTTCGTTGAGGGAAGCAAAGTGTGAACAGCCTCATGATTGCCAAGTGAGAGCTTGCGGAGAGGTGTAAGAGAATGCCACTCCCGTGCTGAGTCCCAGTCTGAGCTGTCCCTCAGAGTCCCGGATACTGGAATTGGTCCCTAGCCTGAGGTGTTATCGGGAGGTGGTGACCGCGTGAAGAGGTGAGGCTTCTTTCTCTCCCTCGTTCTTTCCACCCACCCGTGTATTCCTTGTGGTACCCAACCTCAGTTGTGTCTGCCTGCACTGCCAGGGTTAGAGACGCAGCCAGGGGCTCAGGCAAGCGCTTTGCCAGTGAGCCCAAGTCCCAGCTCCGATTTATCTTTCTCACATCTCCCTCCTACAAATGAGCAGATCCATGGACACTTTCACAGAGCCGTCCTGGTTTTGGAGGCATTTAAACCTAGAATTCAGCATTTGTGTATAATTGTTTATTTTTATTTTGGAGAAAAAAATCCAAATGCAATAAAAGACATGGCTCTGTTAATAATAGTTTTTAAAATGGCTGGGGATCAACCCGGGCCATGCCTATGCTGGCAGACACACTGCCTCTGAGCTCTACCCTCAGCTCCAGACGTCTGCCTCTCTCTCCAGCACACCATCAGATGTGTTCTGCTGGAGCTCAACCTTGGCCAAACAAGGTCCATGACCTTCCTGACTTCCCGAAGCTCCCTCCCTCCAGCTCCTCAGATAGGTATTCTAATTTCTCCCTTCCATAGACAAGATTGCCTTCCCAGGAATATCATATAAATGGGTAAAGCTTCCCTCGCTCAGCATAACGTTTCTGTAGTGTATCCACACCATGGATCGTATCAACTCATTCTTCTTGTTGGTGAGTACATTCCACTGTATACACATACATACATATGTATATATGTTAATTACATTGTATGTATACATCCTATCAATCAGTCTCTGAAACTCAGCCATGAAGAGTGACGATGTTTACTTGTTTACTTGTGTGCAGTGGCTCTGTTTTTTTTACCTCACGCTTCAGATCCCCCTGGTGACTGATTTGACTATAGGTGTTTTCAATCTTTTACAGCAGTTCTGCTTCTCACGTGCTTTGTTACTTACACAGGATATTTTCAAAGTGTCTCGGTGCTGAGTGTTAGCGTGACTGGGTAGACAGGTAGCTGTCCCCTCAAGCAGTTCGTCTAACCAATCTTTCCTTCACTGGTCACCTACTGAACATACGTGAAGTGTCTATCACTGTGGCGAGAAAACAAGCTTGGAAAGGGACAGAGTCCTGCTTAGCATTCAAGGTCCATCAAGAGGCCTGTGGCACACACCTGTCATCTCAACAATGGGAGGCAGAAGCAGGAAGATCAAGAGTCCAATGCCGGCCTTGGCTACATGAAACCCTACTTAAAATAAAATAGGAGCTGAGGATGTACCACGCTTAATTGGGAGAGTGCTCGCCTAGCACACGTGAAGCCTTAAGTTCAATTCCCAGCGTAAACTCACACAAATGGGGCTTGGTGGCACCTGCCTGTGGTCCTAGTACTCAGGAGCTGATGGAAGGAAGACGAGGAATTCAAGGCCATCCTCAGCTCTATAGCAAGTCTGAAGCCAGGGTGGGTTACTGGAGACACTATCCCAAAATGTAATAGTAAACGAAAACCAAATAGAGGCCCTGGGCACCGAATCCTTTGCTTACAGATCTCCGTCGTCATCTGGTCTGTTCTACCCTATGGATACAGCGACGGTTGAGACTCACCGCTCTGTCGGAAGGGGGTGCAGTGGCTTTTGCAGTTGTGTGTGGGCTCAGAAGCTGGGGAGACCACGAGGGGCAGGAAGGAGCCAGCTGTTTCCCATCTGTTTGCTGACAACTCTCACCTCTGGAGGCAGCTGCTGAGGCGCGGGGGTGGGGTGGGGGGGTGAGGGAGCAGAGGTGGGCGGACAGCCCGCAGCTGCCACCTCATTTCCTTTCCGATTTTAAGGATAGAGGGTGGCAATGTCCCCACATCCTTGTGAAGCCACAGCTGCCTTCACCCCTTACATGTGCCCAGAGACTAAGGTGTGCCCGGCATACCATGATTCCATGGAAAATACTGGATGGAAGCCGTGTGCCTGTACAGAGCCCCGGACCTCACATGTGCCAGGCAACTGAGCTACCCACCCCCAGTCCTCTCCTTCCTCCCTCTCCTCCCTGCCTCCCTCTCCTCCTTCTCCTTCTCTTTTTTTCTTTTTTGAGACAGGGTTCTACTATGAAGCCCTAGCTGGCCTGAAGCTTGCTCTGTAGACCAGGCTGGCCTCGAACTCACAGTGATCCACCTGTCTCTGCCTCCCGAGTGCTGGGATTAAAGGTGTGCGCCACCACATCCAGCCCCAATCTGCTTTTCAGTCCTGTTGCAGAGCTTGTAAGAAAGTTTCTGGTAGTTCAGTAATCTTTAAACCTGGAAATTTCTTTAAGAGGGAGAAAAAGAAAAAGAAAGACAAGACCTGGAATGGAGGTACGTTTGCTCCAGGATGCTTTAAACAAACATAACGTCGTGTGGAATCTGATTTTGAATGAATTGGAGTACAGTAAACCTCAAAATATCCCGGCACTGCCTGCCGCGGCTCACCAAACAGGAAAATGACTTCAGCGGCGTGCTCTTTCCCCTGGAGTCACACCAGGCAGCTCTTTGTACTCTCTTGAAAACATCTTAATTCTTCCCCAAGCACCATGTTTCTTGGAATTATTCACCGGAAATTAATAGTACTCTGAATCTTAAAGTCATTCAAACCACAAGCGACTTTGCAACAACTCCTAGCCGAAGTATAAAAAGCGCCCAGCAGTTTACGATAGCATTAGTCATCACCGCACACAGCTCTCTCCCCCACCCCACCCCAAAGATGTGTATTTCCCCGTGTTAGCTAGCTGGTGTTGGGACTGACAGGCGAGATAAGCAAGTGAAACACACCGGCAGTGTCAGGGCTGGGGTGGAGGCCAGATAAGGACAGGAACTTCAAGGTGTGGGAGTAGAAGCAACAGGAGATGAAAAATAAGAGGTGGTCAAGGAGGGTGTCGCTGAGAGTGTGATTTTGGAGTCAAGACTTCAGTAGTCATCAGAACAGCCCGGAAAGAGCAAGTGTGATATGTAAAGGGCAGGGGGCACAATGTGCTGGGCTCCCCCATAGTGTGGGGAAGGATAAGAGCAAGGCGTCTGTGCTGTAGCGTGGAAGGCGGACTTGTTGGAGAGACAGAGGCTCACTGGGCCAGAACTGTAGCAGAGGTTCTGCACGGAATGGCCATCCCAATGCTCACAGTTCGGCTCTGTCCAGGCAAGCGGGGAGAAGGATGCTGCCCAGCGAAGGAGTCAATGGGTGATGTTGTTTTTAGAAGGCAGTATGTCCTGCTCTAGGGCTGGCTTCCTGTGTCCTTCTGAGTACCTCCTGGGAAAGATAAGAGCTCAGTCGTCCATGGCTGATGAGAATTAGACCCTGCTTCCAGTTTCCTCCCGCTGCTCTTGACCTGGTGGCACCCTGGAGCTGGCTACTTGACCTTCCTGGTTGCTTAGTTTCCTCATGGAGAGGATAATTGTTCATTACATGATGGAACTGTGTGGTCAGTTAATAACGTGGTAACAGCCCTGTGGCCGTCAAGGGTTCTGAGTGTCTTTGAAAGAGTCACGACACAAACTGAAGCAGTGACATTAGTGTCACTATTATAAGAAACACATGGAGTGTTGGTACCAAAAACAGTTCAGGGACAGGAAAACTGTGGGCGACAGGGAGGGGACGGGTACAGAGCCGGGACAGGATGAGTGTCAACGAGAATGACGTTTATAGTCAGGATGTTTTGAGGCTATATGAGTGAGGACTTGGGAGGGGGTGGCCTGTTAGCAGGGTGAGGCCAAGAGCCAGTGTTAGAACAGATCAGTGCCTGAGCCCCGTGGAC